TATTTTGCATTTTACAAATAGAAAGTATGTTTGGAAAAGTATTTTAAATGCTTTTCTCAAAAAAGTATTTAAATGCAATATAAAAATAAGTATTTTTTATTTTGTATTTGCATTTTAAATAATAGATAAATCACGTCTCTGCAAATACGTGATAGCAATTTTGTCTTAATTAGCATTTAACCAAAAGAAAGTATCTTTTCACGGCTTAACATTGAGAAATTTATGGTCATGGTCAGTGACAAAAATAATATTTGAGTATTGCATAGGTAGGTAATGTTTGAATTTTAAAAGCACTGTTACATAACAGTTGTAATTTCTAACAACTGTGTGACCAGCAATTATTGCATAGTAAAAAGCGTTTCTGTATAGCATGACCGTTACAAAATCGGACAATTTTTGCCTACTAATAACTTTTTTATACCTGTAATCTTTATATTTCTTTTAATAGATATCTTTGCCAAGTGAAAAACGACGAAATGCTTCAGCTCTTTATAACCCGATGACTGTTGCCCAACTACAAAATAATTATCCAGAAATACCATGGTTAGAGTACATAAATAAAGTAATTGATTTGCCAGAGATTGCAGTTGATGAAAATGAAGTAGTTATCGTCAGCGTGCCTGGCTATATCTCTGATCTTATCAGACTGTTAAAGAAAACACCCAAAAGGTAATGCAAGATGTGATAAGAGAAATTTTTGCTTCTCCTATAGCACAACTTAAGCTTCACATTCCTTCAATAGAAATATTTCTATGTATACAAAGGAATCTAATTTTGTTGGTTGTTGTATAATAATTTTTACATTACAAGACTCTAATTTTGTCAATAAACCAACAATAGTTCTGGAGTGAACTTTTTATTTATTACAGTGCGACGTTTCGACCGTCAGTTTCGGTCATCATCAGGCTTAAAGAATATCACACTGTCCCTATAAAGTCGACTAAAATAATTATCACATCGTAAACGTAACAAGAATCAATATGTTTTCAGTAACTGAAAAATAATTATTTCAGTCAGTGTGACATTCGTTAAGCCTGATGATGACCGAAACTGACGGTCGAAACGTCACAGTGTAATAAAAAAAAAGTTCACTCCAAAACTGTTTTTGGTTTACTGGCAAAATTAGAGTCTTGAAATGTAGAAATATTGCCTATAAATTCAATTTCATGACACTTTAAAAGCCTAAAAGCTTTCACGGCGGTTATTTTGCATAGCATGCCACGTTCCTAACTGATACGCTTATCATGAATGCATTTAAGTACTGTCACGATAATGTAAAAGTTTTATTTGTACCATTTGTAAAAGAAATACGATATGCCTTATCTTTTCAAACATTCCAAAAGTTTTGTCTCAGGACTAAAATTATGTTTTTAAGTCTTGAAATTCACAGAATTAATATTAATAATATTAAAATAGGTTTTACCCGTGTTGATGTCCTAAATACGTGTCAAGGATCATCGACGACTACATAAAGCTAATTTTTCTGTCCCTCGGGAACAGTATTCTTTTTCTAAATAAAAGGTACCCTGATATTGTGTATACAAAATTTCATGACGATCGGTTGAATTTAGGATTATCGAATGTCTTTTACACAAATTTTCAATTTCCGTCTAAATACGTTTATTATCCAGTGTTTTATTGAAATTCCAAGGTTGTGCTATAGGAAATAGCCTCAAGTAAATTACTAAAATAACTTAAGTTAATTCCACGCTATACTTTTGTACATAGGGTTCAAGCCAATTATGCCTTGTGGAGAGCAGCAGCATCTTCTGTCGCATACTTAACAGATGATGTACGAAGAAGACAATTGGAATACAGTACCGTATTAAGTGGAAGAACTGAAAGGGAATCAAGATGGAAAGAATGCGTGGACGTTGCAACAGGAAGGTAAGTACATAAAATTAAATAATACCTGTAACATCTACAATTATTCAAAATTTTGCACTTTTTGTTCACGGTTAACTGCGAGATTTCTATTTCAGCTTGTCGATTGCCGCGGGAGCCCTATACGTGCGTAAATATTTCCACGAAGACGCCAAAAAGCACGCCCTCGAAATGGTCAACGATATCAGGGGAGAATTTCAAGAAATCTTATCAAACGTCGACTGGATGGACGAAGAAACGCGAAAGAATGCTTTGGACAAAGCCAAGTCTATGACCACCCATATCGCATACCCCGACGAGTTGTTAGATGACAAAAAGATTTTAGAATTTTACGGGGATGTAAGTCACACATAAACAAATATAAAATTAATAAAAGAGCTGTTTACATTTACGTAAACACTTTTAACATGCACGGTATTTATTTAAACAATATTTTCGATTATAGTTGGGAGTTGACGCAACTTCTGTCACGTACTGCGCGCGCAATTTCCGTTGCTTACTAAAAATTTCACTCTCTAGCGCCAAAAGAACTAATACAACTTTGAGTTTCAAAAAATTTTATACTTTTTCTACTCTTTACAGCTGGAACTTAGTTCTGAAGAATACTTAAAATCCATAATAAACATCACCCTGTTTGGAACAGCATATTCTTTCCGCCGTTTACGTCAACCTGTTAATAAAACTGACTGGATCACTCACGGAAGACCTGCTATCGTCAATGCATTCTATTCATCCATTGAAAATAGTATCCGTAAGTTAAATAGCATGATCAAACTCGCTTATAACGAGCAATTAATTACCTATAACGAACAACGGATCGCGTATAACGAACAACCTATTCAAACCCAACCTAACCTTCCTGTAACGTATGTAGCGCTCATCAAGAGTTCGGTTAAAAAAAATTATCCAAGAATTCGTAGAACAAATTAGAAATTGTAGTACAATATTTTAGTTCAAACTTTACAATTTTTTTCATTCTATTTACAGAGTTTCCTGCAGGAATCTTGCAAGGGGTCTTCTTTAGCAAGGATAGGCCACGCTACATGAACTATGGGGCAATTGGATTTGTTATAGGTCACGAAATTACACATGGTTTCGACGATCAGGGGAGACAGTTTGACAAGAGCGGTAATTTGGTAGATTGGTGGGCCCCCAACACGAAGACAGCTTTCATCAAGAAGGCCCAGTGCATCATTGATCAATATGGCAACTACACCATCCCAGAACTGAAGCTCAACGTGAGTCTTTTTTTATATTAACACGTAACAAGTTAAGAAATTCTATTTATGACTTTGTTAAAACATAGAAATGATACAAACGGTTTACACCTCGAGACTACCGCTGATAATTTATGATCACAATTTAATACAAATATTAAAACGAGCTAGTTTGATAAATGTTAAATTTTCAAGAAATTAGTCCAAGGAGATTGCGATTTATTATTTGTAATAAAAATCTATTATCTGCCTTGCATTACATCCGCATCTGCTAAAGTTTCGCCGCGATTATCGGGAATACAGATGCGAATCCTCCACAATGCTGATGTAGAGCCAGACGTCTGCATCGACCCTAATATCTGCCTTAAGCGAAACTACTATACATTTATTATAGACACTAACCTCATCATAATAACCCTTCTTTGCAGTATGTAGCATTATAGAGAACCCTTTGGTGTACATAAACAAAAGGGTAGTTTTTTAGAAAACGGGTAGGTACTATTTTGTCAACATGTATGGGTAACTAACAAAGTAGTGTAGTTTGAGGTAGTTTATACGATGGTGTGTAATTTGATAATTTCAGCTTAATGGAATAAACACGCAAGGAGAAAACATAGCGGACAATGGCGGCATTAAAACTGCTTACTTAGCATACACGAAATGGCTGGACCGGAACGGGGAAGAGCCGCGGCTGCCAAGTATGAATTTCACCGGCAAACAAATGTTCTGGATATCGGCTGCTAATATCTGGTGTTCTGTAACGCGGTTAGAAGAACTGCGACAATTAGTTATCACTGATGAACATGCACCTGACATTTTTAGAGTCATAGGTCCTTTTAGTAACATGAAAGAGTTCGCTAACGACTTCAATTGTACAGCCAAAACGAAAATGAACCCCATTAATAAATGTAGTGTGTGGTAGTTTAGAAAGTAGTGGTTGCGGGGGTTAAAAAAATAACCAGTAGAAAACGGTTCAAACGAGTATAGTAGCTCATGTATAAACAGAAGATCAGTATTATTTTTATTTGTTTTTTATGACGTAGTTAACATTAGTTAATATTAACTGATTAACAACACTGACAACACACGAAGGTAGTACGACAATATTTAAGCTTCTTTTCAATTTTTTTTTTTAAATATTAAAAACATTTAATTTTATAAAAATTAGGTCCTAAAAACTTCGAAATATTACTCTCATTAAAAGGCAGGTTTGAAAATGACAAAATTTACCCAATTTCGATCTATTTCATTGAATCAGTAAGAAGGAAACGTTTTTAATAAATTAACCGCAAATATCATTCATATAAAATGCTTAAGAAAACCAATACAATTATATATCATAGTAAGATAATTTTTGATACAAGAACCTTGAAAGCTAAAGGAAATTTTTAAAATGACTCACCGGTGTCGAACGCTGCTCCTGATCAATGTCCTGGAATTGTTGCTCGATCCCAGAATTGTTCCTCGATCTGTAAAACAAAAATTTACGTTTTAGATATTTATTCATTTGATAACCATGTGATATTAATTTTAAGTTTAGGTAAACTGAAATTAAAACTATTAAATATTAGGACCAAACAAAAGTATTTACTTTTCCATATTAACATTAATTGACACAACAAGTTTAAATATTGTCTATCTCGACTTCGTATGTTGTCTCAAAAGTTTTACTTTTTTAATTTTGTTAAAAAATCATCGAAAACTGTGATGTAAATACGTAAAATTGGAATATTGTTCTTGCCCAGGTCGTATATAAGGTTTGACATAATACGTATCTATCATACAGTAAATATTAAGTTAATATTAATTTCATTTTTATTTACAAAATTTATTTAAAAAATGGTCCAACTTATTGGGGAGAAAAAATGCAAAAGAAATTTACAATATAAATGATATACATCTAATACCACCTTCAGAATAAAATGCAAATAAAGGCCGGAATTAATCAGTAAGGGGTGAAGACTGCATTTTCTTCTTAACACATAACAATATTTAATTAAAGAAGATAATATTTACTAATGTAGGTACCTAATACAAAAATTGCTACTGAAAAATAATGAAGTGATAATCCATTTCATAATTTTGTGAAAAACGGCTTGCTTTTAAAACAATTTTATAATTTTCATAAACAAAAGATAGAAACACGTTTTTAATTGATTAAGTTTACAATAATTTTCAATATGAGTAATTAAAAACAAAGAAATCCAATAAATAAATTGCTTTTACATATATGTTTCCAACATATTAATAGAAAACTTTACATTATAAATTTGAAAAATACAGTTTTCAAAATTTTTATTTTCCAATTTATGTAAATATTATCTTCTCGCAAATACATACCAACACTTTTTGATTTTTAGTGACAAATTACTAATGAAGGGATGTCCTCGTACCCTTAAATTTCTAAAACTATCCCCTTTTCATGTGTACAAAAAAGCATACTTTCAAAGGATGTAATATCAAAATTATTTCTTTAATTGCATATTTTTTACTTATTTGAGATTAATTAATTAAGCACAGGACACATTTAAATACCAAACTATAAAAGCGATCAAATCAGATTAATAAAAACTCAAACAGTTACTGGAACAACAAACACAATCTCTGTAATTTATTTAACGTAACAATTGTATAGAAACTAAATTTTACCTTTCCACAACAAAGAAATTATCTATTGCCGAATACTACTGTTTCACACACGCCCCGCGGATCCTTAAGTCCTCGACTGAGGAAAACAATACATCAATTCTGTTGTGTTGTTAAAGGTACGTCTCTTCGGCAAGAATCGTATAAACATGTGTGAATCAAAGTCATTCATCGTAAATTTTCGTTTTATATCCCATACTAATGACATCAGATACAAATACTATACATCCACAAGCAGAGCTCTTTTAATCATCGTTGTTTGCGATAACACAGATATTTATGAACTTCAAGTACATTTTCAGGTCAAACTATTCTTTTCGACGTTAAAATGAGAAAAAATGTTATGTTATTTAAATATATTTAACTTCCCATTAGGAAGTTATTGTAATTGGGTCGAAAAGTGAAATCGGAATTTTCATTATATTTCCACGTTTTAACATATTAGTAGCATGCTAGCCAATTTTTTTGATGATGTGTGTATGTACGTACGTACGTACGTATGTACGTACGTTCGTATGTCAGCATTTTTTTCGTTTTCGATATCTCAAGAACGGATTGAGATATCGCCCTCAACCAAAATTTTTTCGAAAGATATTATCATAATGAAGATCTGAAAGAAATTTGAACGAAATCGGTCAAGCCGTTTTTTTTTTATAAAAAAAAACGAATTAATTACAAACAATTTAATTAAAATACGTTCTAATCTAATCACAACAATGAAGTTACGGAATCAATAATAACTGTATTATCTAATGGGAAGTTAGTCGTATTAGCACCGACCAAAGCGTGCTCAGACCAATTTTTAAAAAATAAAAAGAGGATGCGGTAATTAATTGAAATTGTAAAACAAATCAATTCATTAATAGGCCTTAAGTCACCTCTATGTGATGCAAATTAGTAAAATAATTAATAATTTTGCTACATTCAACCGGAACATAACTCATAAAAAAATTTAATAGATACTTAATTAATTTCGTATGGTATTTGGCATAACTCAGATTGTTTACAATAGCTTTAAAGCTTACATTTATATTTTTTCTTTTAGAATGTGCAATAATTGGAAAATGCATAACATGATACTATTAACTTTATCTGATTGGATTGAACTATACGTTTAAAAAATTGTTTAACACTAATTTAATAATTACCTAATGTAGGTACTCGGTATAGAACTTCATACTAGGCGCATAAACACTCATTATTTAATACAAAGTGATACTGGAACCTAAGAAAAACCCATTTATAAAACAACCACTTAACTCCAGAAAAAGAAAACATATATTGCCTAATAATTTCAGCATTTACTGGTCAATAAAAAAATAATTGGTCATTAGTAAGAAATATTTATAAGTAGGTATATAGGGTGTCGGTTTTTACTATGTAGACCATAAAAAAGGACCCAGACTACGATGAAGGCTCCCAGAAGACTAAAGGTGAATAATACAAACAAAAAAATATTCTAAAACTTCGGGTGAAGTTGGTGTTTTGTCTAATGCTTCAAATATACTTCATGTGTGGTACAATTCTTATACGTCACCTTCCGCACAAAATAATCTATTTATTCTACGTTACTTGTAACATTCTCTATTTTTATTTTTTTCTTTTCTATCAGTGTCTACTGCATTTTGTTAATTTTTTTTCTTTTTCTTCTTCTACGCACCTGTTACTAGTGATTGCAACAAATGTAATACACAAACACAAATATATGTTGAGTAATTAAGTCACTTTAACCTAAATATTTCGCGCAAAGTTTGTTATCTAAATTGAGAACAAAAATCATTTTATTTTCTAGTTGAACGGCATCAACACCCAAGGAGAAAACATCGCGGATAATGGTGGTATCAAAGAGGCGTATTTGGCTTATCAGCACTGGTCAGAAGCCCATTCTACAGAGCCGATGTTACCAGGGTTGAAATACACCCCGAACCAGATGTTCTGGATTTCGGCTGCCAACACTTGGTGCGCAAAATATCGCCCAGAAACGCTGAAACTTCGCGTACTGACCGGTCACCATTCGCCAGGATACTTTAGGGTCATAGGTCCCCTCAGTAATAACGAATACTTCGCCAGAGATTTTAAATGTCCTTTAGGATCCAAGATGAATCCTGTTAAAAAATGCCAGGTGTGGTAATAGAAAACTTTGGCGTAAATCGATGTGATATATTTTATATTAATCCGTGTTTGTAAATGTACCTAATACAATGAAACATTTAATTGCATATTTCTGTAAGACTGGTTAACTAAAAAAAATTACAATTTTTCGTCCACCATTGCTATTAGATACACATTATTATTTATAGTAAATTATTATTATTATTATAAATATATTGTAGGCAGTTTCATTAGGGTTATCATGTCATTATTATTTCACTTTTTGTTTTACATTTATTTAAATTATCACCGTATGTATTGTATTGTATTTAATTGTGTAACAATAACCGTAAAATTATTACGATTGTTATCATAAAATCTAGAAAAATGGTTGAAGCCAAAGAAGGTGGACATTTTGGTTTAGTATTAAAAAGACAATATCACGTGATTTTCACATTTCAAATTTAGTAAGCTTTTTATTTGTAATAAAGTCCTTTTTCTTTAACAAAATTATTGTAAGATATTTTTTATTTTTTAATGAGACATTCAAAAAGACTACGAAACAAATATTATTATTATTACTATTATAATTATAAGTATCGTCTTTTTTTTTTAATTATCTAAATGAGTTTAATTACTGTTCCTTATTTTCAATTCAGTAAATAAAGAAACTGCGAAAGTTGGAGTTGTCTTGTGTATAAATGTATTTGTAATAAAAATAATGAAATTTTACCATTTGTTTTCATTTTATGTAATCCTACAGAAAACCAGCAATGAAGATAGGTACCTTGAATAGAAAATGCTGGAAATGGGAAGATATTGGAAAAGGTCATAGATAGGAGAGACTGATTTACAGAATACCTAATAATCCATAACAAACTTTTTAAAGACATATTAGAAGCAGAAACAAGTATAAACAGGGGAAGGAAGATCTAGCGAATGGTGACTCAGGATAAGAACAAACGGCGCTGCTTGAATTATTTTAGATTTTTAAGTTGAAAATTTCAAAAATTAAAATGATCATTTTTGCTCAAAAATCAAAAATTAAGGATTTAAAATCTACAAATATCCCTATACAGGGTGTCAATTTGAAAACTTCCCACCCTGAATAACCTAGCCTTCGGAGATACACATCAATTCTATTATAGTGGAAAGGTTCACTTTTATTAAGTATTTCTAACCCCCCACCCCTTGTTCCATATCCTAGTGGGGGCAAGCTTATCACCTAAAATGGCATTTCAAGTAAAAGCATCTAAAGTCATATAAAATACCAACTGTAGATAATATACACACAAATGGGTTTTTATCTTTATTAATATTATTTATACATGATATTAACAACAATAATCTTTTACACAAAAACATTAAAAAAAGACAAAAAATGGCAACAGAAAACGCTAGGTATATAGGATGTAAAGTTTAGAGATCTACCAGACAGTGCACTTGTCTTTTGGGTTCATTTTCGATCCCAATGGGCAGTTGAAATCTTTAGAAAAATATTCGAGGTTACTGAAAGGTCCTAAAACTCTGAATTCTCCCGGGGAATGGGTATCTGTAGTGACCATTAGTCTCAATTTTTCCGGTCTTTGAACAGAACACCAATTGCTTGCGGCGGAAACCCAAAATAATTGTTCAGGCGTGAACTCAAGTCCTGGTAAAAACGGTTCATCCCCGTGAGCTTTGACGTAAGTCTTATAGGCAAAGTAGGCCTCTTTTACCCCACCGTTATCTGCTATGTTTTCACCCTGTGTATTTTTTCCATTTAACTAAAAGAATTTACCTTCTAAAATAATCCATCACTGACAAATCACACATCTAAGTCACTTTATATAACTAATCGTCCAAAATTTTATACTAAATGCGATGGATAAAGGCCTAAACTGTCTTGAACTTTTGATCTCTACATCCAGACCTTTCATGAACGATTCCAGCAATTTATAGTGTCCAGAAATCCAATTTATTGTTTTGAAACGAATCAGCTTGTTTAAAAAGTTCATGAATAATCGGTTGTGAACAACAAGACAGGAAATAAATTACAAAAAATAAACATTTAGCTTTCTAAACGTTTATAAAAAATAATCAATTATCCCCAGCAAATATAATTATCCAAAGGTTCAAAGAATCGTAAATTTTTGTACCTTCTCGTTAATTTCTTTAACAGTGTAATTCCCATATTGATTAATAATGCAACGAGCTTTCTCCAGGAAGGATTTTTGAGTGTCTTGAGCCCACCAATTGGCCAAATTTCCATCTTTATTAAACTGTCTCCCTGTATCGTCGAATCCATGGGTTATTTCGTGTCCTATTATCGAACCTATGGCCCCAAAATTCAAATAACGTGGTCTATCTTTACCAAATAACTGCCCTTGTAAAATACCAGCAGGAAAAACTACAACATTACGTCAACCACTTCAGTCTTCAACATATAAGTTTCGAAAAAAACAGACACTTAAATGTTGTTACATAAAAATATAATTTTTCTGAAATATTTATTACCAATACTATTCTCTATTGGATGGTAAAAAGCGTTAACTTGTGCTGGATTTCCGTGGTCAATCCAATCTGTTTTATTGACCGGTTGATGCAGCCTTGAATAGTAGAAATCTGTCATAAACAGTGCAATATTCAAAGATGATTTTAGAAATTGGTCTTCATAAATCTCAAGCTACAAATACGACAACCAATGAATTGGAGAATGACGAATTTAGGATCGAATATATAACATAGTATGATCTACTAGTAACTAATGATCAAAACTCATACTGATCTTGAGCTTTCCAAAGAACAAGATAGAGGAAAACATAAATTAGGCTTTAAGACTAGTTTCTCATTCTTTTTTCCAAATCAACAATAATCGAACTTAACAATGTAACAAATTGAATAAAAGATTATACTGTTATAGCTTTCTTATAGTTTTCAAAGACTAGTTATAAAATAAGAATATTATCCAGTCCACTCCTTGAATTATTCGGTTCATCAAAAATTGAATAGAAAATTAATATATTTTGGAAATTTTTAATCTATCAAGTCATTTTATAGTAGAAAATATAATAATGGGTCCAATCAAAATATGTCGTCTTTAAAATATTACAACACGTAATAAACAGTGAATTTGACCATTAAAAGAGTTATTAAATATACGTGTGTTAGTATCTCATAAATTAATATGTATAAAGTGCGTAAATAGAAAGAGCGGTAATGAATAAACGTTCCAGATAATTAGTCGAGTGGTCAAAATGAAGATCAAAGATAGATAAGTAAAATTTTAAATTGAAACCAAAATCGGTTTGGTTTGATCTTGTTTTTGCTCATCGCTGAATATTATTTGCTAGCAATTAATTATAAAGTTATACTAACCGTAACTTTCCTGTAATATTTGTTTTTAAAGCATTACCGTAAAATATTACAGTACTGTAGAAACTTATTCCAGATTTTATCGAGTTTTAAATCCGTTTTTACAAATTGGTAAAGGCTTTTGGGTCTAAAGGTCGTCGTCGGTTAGAATTGCTTCCTAAAGTTTCACTAACACTAATGGCGAGCTTCTTCAGACGTTCTTCCATCTCCGATGGTTCACAATCCACTTCTAGCATCGAAGATGGAACAACATCTGAAGAAGCTGGCCACTCGTGATAGCGAAACGTTAGGGAGTAACTCCAACCAACGAAGGCCTTCAGACTCGAATCAGGAAAGCATCGGCTTTTAAAGATAGGATTAGAACTAACAAAAAATAGAAAATGGAAAACTAGTAGAGTCGAGGGTTTTCGATACTTAGGGAGTGAGATAACCCAGGAATAAAAAAAAGAAACTCATAAAATAAAGGATGATGCAGGATCAGGACGCTTTTTTTACCAAAACGAACTAACTTTTGAAATACGAAAACCATTATTAAAAGTATATGCTTGGGGTACGGCTTTAGATGGGTGTAAAATGTGGAGGTTGCTTAGACATAGAGAATTAGAGACATATTAAGGCAGAAACAAGATTAGGAAGTGCAAAGTTGGGTCGAAAATAGGGATGTAGGTTGTTCTAACAGTTTTGAAGAAATGCGAAGATTGGCTCAAGATAAAAAGAAGTGGAAAAAACCTAACAATCTTTGGACTGAAGACCTAATAATAATGATGATGATTTTGATTACGATTAGATTTGGTATTTACCCCACTGAATAGTTCTTCCAATTTCTTATCATCAAGTAACTCATCTGGATAAGCGATATGTTCAGTGATAGTAAGAGCTTTCTCTAAAGCTGCATTCCTGGATTCGTCATCCATCCAATCGATCGTTTTTAAAATGTTAATAAATTCCTGTTTCAAAAACGTAACCATTTCGAGAACTTTTGTTTTAGTGTCACGATGAACATATTTCCTCACATACAACGATCCTACCAGAATTGGAAGACTAAATTTACCAAAAAAAAAAAAGAAAAAGTTCTTTGAAGAGGTTATCAAATTATTAGACATAGTTCAATTGAAATTGCACAAAAGTCACGAATTCTGGTGCTGTCTGCAGCACATTTTTACTTAAGAAATATCAAAAGACTTTAGACAGTCTAAAATCGTAACAAAAACCATTTACATTAATAAATTAATAATGTTTCCTTTATGTTTGCTAAATGTAACCATTTTAAGGAAAATATTTTTCTAGTACATACAAACGTATGGATTTTCGAGATACACTCACTAGGGGTAGAACAAACAAAGAAGAAAGTAACCTTGTTACCGAAAAGTGCTTCGGACAACTACAGTGTCGTGTTTTGGCGTTGGGGTTTTGAGCTATTTTGTTTATTCTATAACAACCGCCAAAGTTTTTCCAATCTTCATACTCACTAGGGCGTTTAAAAAATTGGAAATTCGAGTCCAATCTTAATTTTCATCTTATCATAGTAATAAATCTTTGCTTCATTTACTATTTTAAAGATTATTTTAAGCAATTTCTGCCACAATTTTAGACAGTATATATAAAGTTTGCACAAACTAAATATTTCAGTGATACGAATATGACATTGATTTTTAACACCATTACCTAGAAGAAACATCCTCAACGCATTCTTTCCACCTCGGAGGTCTTTCAGCCTGCCCACTGATCGCTTTTAAATACTTCAACTCCCTCTGACTAATAATGTCTGACAAATATGGAATTAAAGATTTGACGACCCTCCAAATGGCATAGTTCGCTAACACTCTACGACAATTTGGAAGAGGAAATAAAACCCAAACGTATATTTTAAACGTAATTACCTCTTAGGGGTCCGCCTTATTAATTTTTCCAATTTCCTAATATATTTTGGAACACCCAAAATAACTGTTTCATCTTCAGTTACCTGAACATTGCTAGGTAATAATTTCTTTATATAATGCAACCAATCTATGCTAGGAAATTCCCTATTTAGTTCAGCTATTGTGAGAAGATTGTAAAGTTTAAAAGTGTCCCTTCTGTCCTCTTGGGCCAACGAGTACTATTAAAAAGCATTATATTAATAAGAAAGTGTTAGATCGTTCATTGAGATTCATACGTTTGCCAATTCTTTCTCAAATTTTAAAGACAATGACAGTTCTTCCGCTGCAATTTCTGGTGTTGCACCAAAAATGATAGCTATATCGACCATGTAATTGTAATAAGCTTCCGTCAAGTCGGTGTTTTTACTCAGCAGGAATTCACGACTTAGGCCAAAATTTGGCTGATCCAACTAATAACAGTTTAAGTTCGTCAAACAAAATAAAATGGAAGCGGTATTGACAAAACAGTACTGTATGAAAATAAATAAAAATAAAACAAAAATACTGGTATGCAAGGGAAGAAAAAGTAGGGAAAGAGCGAATATAAAGACAGGAGACGAAAAATTAGATAAGAAGTGGCCGATTTTAGATACCAAGGAAGCCAGATAAGTCAGGACGGAAGGAGTATTAGGGATATAAAGCAGAGGATAGCGCAAGGTCGAGTCGCTTTCAATAAAAGGAAGTCACTTCTATGTTCGCGAATGGTTAATTTAGAAATGCGAAAAAGCTTGTTAAAGGTGTATGTTTGGAGCACGGCGCTGTACTGGTGCGAAACATGGACAGTGGGCGCGGCGGAAACGAAAAAGTTAGAAACGTTTGAAATGTGGTGTTACAGACGAATGATGAGGATACCGCAGATAGAGAAGGTTAGACATGAAGAGGTATTAAAAAGAGTAGGAGAACAGAGGACTCTATGGAATTCAGTAAGAAATAGGCGAGATAGGTTAGTACGACACCTTCTCAGGCATGAAGGTCTAGTCAGAGACATATTAGAGGCAGAAACGGAAGTTAGCAGGGGTAGATTAGATTACTGTTCGCAGATGGTTAAAGATATGGGTTGTTGTAATTTTAGGGAAATGCGAAGATTAGCTCAGGATAGGAAAGAGTGGAGGTACGTGTCCAACCAGTCTTAGAACTGACGACCTTATGATGATAATGAAACATGAAACAACCGTTCCCATGACATAATAGCTCTATTACCTGAATTAATCGTCGAGAAGAATTTTTGAAGTCAAACCCTACCGAGAAATCTATGAAGAAGCCGGTGTCTAAGCCCAATTTCCTGTTCAAAAAAACCGACTGTAACCAATTAAATTTGTCTTCGTTCCAGTTTCTTCCTTCGACCACAGGCCAACCCCCAAGTTCCGTTATTATATCCCTGACTTCGTTAATTCCCCTCTCTTCAATCTCCTCTAAAATTCCACACTAAAATCTCCAATAACCACGAAGCATTACACTGTGGAAAACTTACGTTTGTTAATGCACGATTGATAGTATCTTTTCACTTTTTGAATCGATGATATCTCTTCGTTGTCAGTATCTCCGAGAGCTAATTTTAATTGTTCTTCCAATTCGTCCACTATGACTGTGAATGTGTTAACGGACGTTTTGTCATCAGGAATTGTCGTGGTTTTCATATAATTGCCGCAAACAAACCTATAAAAGTCGTCGCAGGGCGAAACTGCGAAATCCATTTGAGATAATATTTGTGCCGATGCCTTTATACATGACGCTGATAAACACACTCTCTGGTGTTTCTGTCCACATTCTTGTACGTTATTATCTAAATTAGAATCTTCCGAATAGCTCGCTAAAATATTATTAGGGAAATTAACGTACGTAGTACAAATAAAGCGATGTTTGCAAGGGATAATAAGGCCGAAAACGAGGGGTAACTGGGAACATATGTAAAATTCATTTTTGGAAAATAATTCTCAACGAGATGTACCAGGAATACGAAAAAATTGAATTCATATTTATATTATCGGTTTATGTTTTTTTAACTTGGGTTTGATTTTAGTGTTTTTACAATAACTTTTAGTTAGATTTGTTGAAGATTTTCTATACAAATTACAATACAAATGTCTTTTTTGTTTCTACAGCAGTGGTCCAATTTTGCGGTTGCTGTTTTTCGATTCTGTATGAAAATTTGTTATAAATTATTTCTGTTAAAGGTCACCGATGTAATTTAAAAACTATAAGTATATAAAAAGTACATTGCATTCTTTAATTTTTATTTTTAACCTTTCCTAAATTCAAAGTAGAAAAATGAGACTGTGGTAAATAATAATTAATCAAAAATTAAAAAGAAGACTCACCCCTAATTACCAGAAAGGTTTTGAGCGTATGAAGTGGGCGAAACACGTGTCCGCTCAAAAAGTTTCTGTGGTAATTTAGAGTGAGTTTTCTTTTTAATTTTTAATTAATTTCCTAAATTGTTAAGAATATTGAAGATATGATCATGTAATTTAACTAAAACGAAAAGGCTTAATCCTTAATATTGATCATTGTAGCTTGAATAAATCAAATGTATAATTAGCTAAAAAAATTAAACACTTGTGTGACTTTATATTATAAAGAAAACACCTCAAAAACAAAGCACATAAGAAAACGTTAATTTTCTTTTACTTTGTTAAGCTTCTTATAGAAAGAAGTAGACGATTTTTATGCAGATGATAATTTGAAAGTGTTGAATAAATAGAAACGATAATGGCTTCACATTAAAATAAATTGGTAACAGCCTTGGTATTAACTCATTTTTAAAATTATCATTTGGTGAGCTTCTTGAACAAATTTACATTCTCCAATTTGGTTGATGGCTTCATTCTTAGTATTCTTTAGGGATTAGGTGTTTTCAATTATCTTACGTTCCCCTAAAAGTCCTAATTGGACAATATTCGAAAATTTAATGGTTTATAAATATACTTTAAATATACGTTTATATACATTTATTTATTCAAATTTATGCTGCAACATTGTACCGGAATTATTTTCTAATACGAAATAAAGGGAAAGACGTTGTTTTCGTTAAAAACCCATTTTTCATCCGCTTTTTGTTATTACGAAGGATTACTGCATAAAAACTCAATGCATTATGCGCTTATTTTGCAACTGCAAGTTGTTATTTATCAAATTAAATAATATAAATAGCTTTAGTTCAACAGATCGTAAAAATCGCAATTGTAGTAATTATCTAGAAAATTTAATGTCATATAAATTAATGGAAAAACCTCAATTTTTATATGTTCTAACAGAACTAATTTCTAACAATATTTATATTTCCTGTAAATCACTTGAATCACAATTAAGAGAACAAAAACAAATAACAACATTTTTTTTTGTTAAGTAAAAAACAATTAAAGTTATTTTACTTATCAAATATAGAAAATAGAAACATAAAAGTTCCGTTTCTGAATTTCAACAAACATCTTTCCTTTAAATTCTTACAGTAAAGGCCCTGGATGCTGTATTTACATTTATTGTAACTCAGTTACTGGAACTTTAAGTATAGTAGCCTTTTATGTTGTTTTGTCATTTTTATTAGTTCTTCGAGCAGATCAATTTCAAAAGCCTTCTTTATTAATCATAAATTGCCTATAATTTCTCATTAAATACTTCTTAAAAGTATTAAAGCATGCTTATCCTAATAAGTTCATGAAAACCTGAAACTTTTATTGGCAGTTTATTGTCACTAATCTTCTTTATTCAATTTATGTAAAGATTATCCAATTAAATAGTAAAATCTGATTTTTAAACACATTCCGCTTTCCTTGTAACACATGCCAATTTTATTATAATAATGAAATCAATATGGTGAAAAGCTTTTTTCTTCTAATATGATAATTATAAGTAAATTTCTTAGGATAAATAGGTAAAGAAATTAACAAAAATTCTAATTAAGAGCATTCTAATCTTCACAAATGTATGCTAGGACATTCTTTCCGAAACTTTTAAACTTTTGTTAAACTAATAGTAATAAATCTTACCGTACCATTAGATTTTTGGACAAACAAAAGACAAATAAGGATAACAATCAACGTAATTGTTCCTGCAAGGAACATTGAGAGTTTTTTCTCATTTTTAGTTAGCGCTTTCCAACAAGTGCGTCTCCTATAAAATTAATGAACAATAAATAAAAATTGTGCTAAGTATTTATTGATTTTCCTTTACCTATTTGCTGCTGGAGTATTAAAGTCCATTTGAACCGAAATTGAATTTCGAAAATACACTAACTAGAAAATATACGTCATACACCATACTCTCACAAAAACTGAACGGATTCTGGCGTTACAAAATCTCTTTTCAGCAGACAGATAGATAAGTCGAAAGTGACTAAAGCGAAAAAGTAGAAAAAAAGAGAAGAAGTAGCTTTTAAGCTGGGTTTGGTTTGAATGCGAATATAATACGTACATAGATCCACGACTCAGAAACTGTAATTAATTAATGCCATGTGTAAAAACTCGTTCCGGAGGAATTTTTCAAGCCCTGTGGCCTCTCATTAAATTCGCTGTTACCTGATGACCTTATAAATGCGAAGCATTATTTATTAGTGTACCTACGTAACTGAAGGAGACGTAAGTTTGGATGCGTAGATTTTTCATTTTTAATTACTTTAAATTAAAAAAAAGCACATTTTTAAAAATTCGTCAAGCGCATTTTTTTCAGCTTACGGCATACACCAGCTTACCTTAATTAAGAAATACTTTTCAGTAAACTATCACTGATGAATTTATTAATTGCATTTTTTAATTTAAAGCAAGTAAGTTTAAAAAAATATTCTAAAAAAGTATTATGAAAGATATATTTTTATTTTTATGAAAAGAGTAGACAATAGAAAGATGAAAAGCTTAAAAGAATGTAAGCAAAAGCTTCGGTTACCTAGGTAACCAATTTTCCAACATGAAAATTAACGAAGAAAAAGCTTTTGAGTAGGCAGCCAACAGTACAGCTTGGGAAACGTAGAAATGGAAATTCTGAAATTGCATTAGGCAACCACTCTTACTGATGAAGGAAAAACATAAAAGCAAATTGTGTAGTTAAAGTAGGCAACCTATTTTACACCTAGAAGAAAAACTCTAAAAAAGTGATCATATTAATCAATTCCACACAACCTAATTCTAAGCGCTTAAAACCAATTTTCACAATTAGATATCAGATATATAAACATTCTAAACTTGTTTAAAGCTAATGGTAATACTTACACAAACATGGAGTGACACGTTTGGAGCACTCTATATTAACGAAAATATTCCAAAGTATAAAACCAAAATATGTGAGCTGCATATTTCCCATAAATATATCTAAATATTTATTTCAACACGACCTTTAATAGGTTTTGACAATTATCTTTACCTTTGTGTCAAAAACTGACCTGATTTTAGCATTAGAAATAATAAAAATTAAAAACCGCGTTAGATAATTAATGATGCCATAAAAAAACTTTAAATTAATAACAGACGTTTTACTTTTAATTCAGAAAGAGCGACCATTAATTTTTAGCATACATACAAAGAGTATGCAAAATATTAGAGAGGCCTTATTATAATAGTAACTTTGAATTCATATCAAATTAAAAAAGTTTTTAAAACTTTTGCATGCAAATTAGATTGTCTCAACAACATCTGAATATAGGGTGCTCTCATAAATTGTTGACTGATTTTATTGCTTCCTTGGATTTTAAGAAGTCAATTTCTTGTGGGAAAAGATTTATATTACTTAAAGGACATTTATGTTTAGGAAATTATAGAGCATTATGAACAATTTAAATTTGATTTGAATTTAGCGGTATATTTGAAAAGTTTAGGGGATTTTATAATACTTGGTTGTTTGAATTGTATACAACCAAGTGCAACCATGAACAACTGTCAAAATAGGCTTGCTTTGTACAGGTTAAATTTGATCTTCATAAGCATTTTCTTTAAAATTAAAATCAATTTTATTTAATTTTCTCCTAATTTTTCCTATAATGTCGTGGCTATTCGGATACGGTAGAGGTGGCCAACAAAATGCTGACCCTAATCAACCCGGAGTGCCTGAACCACCACCAAGTGGAGGAACCGGTATACCTGGTGATATTAATCTAACTAAAAGCGAGAAAAAGGCAATGGAAGCATATAGATTTGATTCTTCAGCTCTAGAAAGAGCAGCACAAGCCGCCAGGGAATTAGAAAAGTCGAGTAAGTAAAATTTAATACATGAGTGTATAGGTTAGGTTATATTGCATAATTTTTAAATATTGTAAAATCGGTGGCAATTCTGCTGAATTACTTAATGTATTAATGCGTAGGGCATGCAAAAGAAGCTTTGGAACTTTCAAAATTACAAGAAACTACAAAGCAAGTAGAATACCAGTCAAAAATTAAGGAGTATGAAGCACACGTTCAGCAGTTACAAATTGAGGCAAAAAAGGCTGAAGCAGAAGAAAGGCGGAAATATTTGCAAGAAGAAACTAAGCAACATCAAGCTAGGGCACAATATCAGGATCAGCTGTCAAGAAAACGATATGATGATCAACTCCAACAGCAGCAAAGGATGAATGAAGAAAACTTGAGAAGGTACTGAGTGCTTTGTTAATAGAAGTATCATTATATTTTAAGATTAATCATTATCTTACAGACAGGAAGAGTCTGTAGCAAAACAGGAAGCTATGCGCAAAGCAACTATTGAACATGAAATGGAATTACGTAATAAAAATGAAATGAAGAGAATAGAGGCAGAATTGAGAGCTAAAGCTAAAGTGGATCGCGAAAATAGGGACCTCATTTTAGAGCAAATTAGGCTTAAAGCTGAAGAAAATAGAATTACAGTTTTGGAAGGAATAAAGTATATTTGATGCTTGCACTGACAAAACAAAATATTTAATGCATCCAAATTCATTTTTAGGACTGCAGGAAGTGTAATAGGATCAGGAGTTACAGCTTTGTTGACAGACTGGGATAAAGTTCTTGCTGCAGCAGGAGGGATGTCTTTATTGGCTTTGGGGGTTTATACTGCTAAAGGGGCCACTTCTGTGACTGCTCGATATATTGAAGCCAGACTTGGTAATTTCAATTACTTTCACTGTAACAACAAATATTAAATTTAATGTCATCTCATTTTACAGGAAAACCTTCTCTTGTAAGAGACACTTCAAGGTTTTCATTTTTGGAATCTCTTAAGCATCCAATCGAGCAATTAAAAAAACTGAGAAGCAAAACTGGTGATGCTCTTTCAGGAGTTGTATTGGCTCCAAGATTAGAAGAACGACTGAGAGATGTAGCCATTGCAACCAAAAATACAAAACTTAATAGGGGAATGTACAGAAACATTTTAATGTATGGACCACCAGGAACTGGTAAAACGATGTTTGCCAAAGTAAATTTGTTTTCTACAATAAGCTTTCAATTGTATATTTATTGTAATATTTATTTCTAGAGATTAGCAAAATACTCTGGGATGGACTATGCAATATTAACTGGGGGAGATGTTGCTCCAATGGGACGGGAGGGTGTCACCGCCATCCACAAAGTCTTTGATTGGGCAAATGGTACACGAAAAGGTACTCAGAATGTCTTTTAGTTACAAAAATAAGTATCTAAAAAGCAATTTTGGTTTTACAGGTTTATTGCTATTTGTGGACGAAGCTGACGCATTTTTGCGGAAGAGATCGTCCGAACATATATCTGAGAATTTAAGAGCCACTCTCAATGCGTTCTTGTACCGTACAGGGGAACAGAGTAGTAAATTTATGTTGGTCTTGGCTTCCAATACTCCTGAACAGTTCGATTGGGCTGTTAATGACAGATTGGACGAAATGGTAGAATTTGAACTGCCACAACTCGACGAAAGAGAACGACTGATGCGTCTCTACTTCGACAAGTTCGTGCTAGAACCGGCTGCAGAAGGGAAAAGGTATAATTTTCTACAAAAACTCGAATTTTATATAATATGATTTAAAATCTACAGATATTTCATCTAAATTGCAAATTGATATTCGCTTATTTTTTATGTAATATTTTAAAATTGCTTTGTGTATTTACTAAAAATCGTTCTACAAAGGTTCATTGGAGTCCTTAAACAATTAAATTAATTTTACAGAAGATTAAAAGTTGACAAATTTGACTATGGAGCCTTATGCAGTAAAATGGCAGTAATCACTGAAGGGATGTCTGGAAGAGAAATTGCAAAATTGGGGGTTGCTTGGCAAGCGGCTGCATATGCCTCAGAAGATGGTGTTTTAACTGAAAAGATGGTCTTAGACAGATGTATGGACGCCATAAAACAACATCAACAGAAGGTAAAAATCTTTAAACAGTTTCTTTTCGTTTTACTAAGAAAATGAATAACAGTAATGCAAAGAAGTCTTCTGTAGTCCCAACAAGATAAAATATTTCATCAAAATCGCAAAGAAATTACATTTAACACTCGATACTAAGAAAGATATTGTTTTATTTGTAAATTTACTCTAGATAGACGTATAATTCTTTGTTAAAAAATCCTCAAAAACAATCAAAACATTATTATAATAAATGATATTTCATTACCACATTAGAATTAAACGATTACTTATTGCATATTTTCTTATTTTGTGTGAACTGGTAATGTTTGAAGTGGTTGAATAACGAGTGCTCTTTTACAGGTCAAGTGGCAATCAGAACAGGAAGGAATAAAGAGTGGCTACATACGAGAAAAAAGCAGCAGCAACATCGCGTTCATCCCTAAAGCTATCGAATATAATACATCAGCACAAAGCAAATCAAGTGCAAGTCAAACTGAATCTCATGACTCAGTCAGTTCTAGCAGTTCTGGTGTTAGTGAACCTAGTACTGAAAAAAATTCGAAAGAAAAGACAGAACAGTTAACGAAACAGTAGATTATTTTATTAACAGAATAAAGGCTACAATTAATTTAGTCAAATGTGTTCAGAGGTGATGACTTTGTGCTGTAACTGTTGACCTTTTAACAGCACAGAGATCAAGTTA